GGGATTTCACCATGTTGGTCAGGCTGGTCTTGAACTTCTGACCTTGTGATCTGCCCGCCTCAACCTCCCAAAGTGCTGGGATAACAGGCTTGAGCCACCGCGACTGCCTGTTCTTTTAAATATTTTCCATTTCCACTCATTTGATTCCTTTAAATCCTTGATAGTATTTAGCATATTAGTAGTTGCTTTAATGCTCTTGTTTTTTCATTCTAGATTGTCATTTTCTACATCAGTTTTTTAGTGATTTTGCTCCTGTATGTTTTTCTGCTGCTTATGGCTATTGAATTTAGGCAATATATCAGACATAGCAAATTGTATATTGTTGAATGTTGGATTTTGTCATATTCCTTTTGAGATTGTTAGACTGGTTTTGCGGGCAATTAAGTTATTTGTGGATCAACTTTACCCTTTAAAACCAGTTTTAAGTTTATTTTTCAGTCAGGTTTAGAGTGGCTGTTACGCTAGGGCTAGTTTAGCCTACGATTATTCAGGCATGTCTCTTACAGAGTCTCTGTTGAATAACTCTTAAGTCTCAGACATAGGTTAGGAGGTAATAAAAGACTGTGGTTTCTCCACAGTGTCTAGTAGGGTCTCAACAATTCCTAGCTCTGTATTAGTTTTGGGAATTCTTTAACTTAAACCTGTTACTCTCTTAGCCCCACCGTGTTGAGTTGCATTTCCTTTAGAGACTGGGTTTTGCCATGTTATCCAGGCTGGTCTCAAACTCCTGAGTTCAAGCAGTCCTCACAAAGTGCTAGGATTACAGGCATGAGCTACCACAGTTTTGAAGGAATAATCCACATATAAAAGATTAAACATGTTAATATAGTTACTTATGGGTAGGGGGAGGAGAATGATAATAGGTTTAGATGATTTAAGTGAAAAAATAATGAACTATTTATAAAATCAGAGCAAGGCCTTGCTCAGATATTTGTTACATTTATTTAGTTATTTAATATTAGGTGTATTATTTCTATCTTTTGCTGTCATAGCAGTGCAGTGAAAAATCCCTGTATCTAAATCTCCGTCTACCCTTGTGATGATTACTTGAGCATAGATTTTTACGTGTGGAAATAGTGCATCAGTGGACATGAACGTTTTTATAGACTCTTGAAATATGACTATTACATCTTTTCTTTTTCTATTTCTTTTCCTTTTTCTTTTTCAGATGGAGTCTTGCTCTGTTGTCCAGGTTGGAGTGCAGTGGTGCGATCTTGGCTCCTTGCTACCTCTACCTCCTGGCTCAAGCGATTCTCCCACCTCAGCCTTCCAAGTAGCTGGGACCACAGGCAGTTGCCACCATTCTTGGCTAATTTTTGTATTTTTTTTACAGAGATGAAGTTTTGCTCTGTTACTGAGCTGTTTTCAGCCCCCTAGGCTCAAGTGATCCCTCCCCTTGGCCTCCCAAAGTGTTGAGATTACAGATGTGAGCCACTGTGCCTGGCCTACTAATTTTTTTTCTGAAAGGCTGTCCCAAGTACTGTATCTACTCCCCCAGCAATGTCTGTCAAGTAAAGTGCTTATCTTAATGTATTCTTTTGTTGACTGGTTTATAGGAAAATAAATTTGGAGGAATGATGTTTCTAGATGGACATGCTATAATACTGTATTTTTATTTTTGACTGCGAAGTTATTTTTGGTTTCTTTATTTCACTTTGGAATTTATTTAAAAAAATCACTGTGATTGTAGTTACTTGTTATTATGTTTTTATAATTGAGCAATATGGTTAACTGAAAATTTCTTATTCACTTAAGAATGAAGCTTTCCACTTAATATTTAGGTGAAAGGTTGCCAAACTATTTTACACAGTTAGTAATTATAATATATATCATCTCTGAAAATAAGATGAAGGCAAACTAGTGATTTTATTTGTAGTTTGACCCTATTTTGAACTTTTAAACTTGTGGGTCAAAGAAACATTCATCAAATAAGCTCAGTGTTGTAGCTTTTATATGTATATGCTATACATATAGATATATTTATATGTTATGCAGTAAAGGTATATTATAGGATGAAATATGATAGGGAATTTTAATCCACTTTCAGTTTCAAGGAGGACTACCCTGAGGAAGTGACTGTTAAGATGAGCTCTAAAGGCTGGGTAAGATTGACTTGGTTAAGAGGTGTATAGAGAAGCCCTTTTGAGAACATTTTAAGCATAAGGAATAGTTTGTGCTGAGGCCCTCTTGTGGGAAGAACACTGAGAAAAGGATGGATTGCAGAAGGGGAGAGTAAGAAGCAAAAGAAGGCTAAAGAAGATAAGCGTCTTATAGTCCACATTAAAGGTTTTGGTCCATATTTTAATGGTGAAAGTATAGTGTTTTTTTTTTTTTTTTTTTGACTTTATGGTGGTGTGAAAGTGATATGCATTCAGTACACTTCTTGACTTAGGATGGGGCTACCTCCGGCTAAACCCATCTTAAATTGACAATATTTTGGGTTGAAAACATGCTTTCAACTTACATTATTTTCAACTTACTCTAGGTTTATCAGAATGTAACTCTATCATAAGTTGAGGAGCATCTGTATAGTTTTTTTTTTGAGATCGCTTCTCGCTCTGTCTCCCAGGTTGGAGTACAGTGGCGTGATCTCTGCTCCCTGCAACCTCTGCCACCTGGGTTTAAGCAATTCTCCTGCATCAGCCTCCTGAGTAGCTGGGATTACAGGTGCGTGCCACCACGCCCGGCTAATTTTTGAATTTTTAGTAGAGACGGGGTTTTATCATGTTGGTCAGCTGGTCTCGAACTCCTGACCTCCAGTATACACTGACCTCATGATCCACCTGCCTCGGCCTCCCAAAGTGCTGGGATTACAGACGTGAACCACTGTGCCTGGCCTGTATAGTTGTTTAAAAGCATGGACTCTGGACTCAGATTGAGTTCTGATCCTGACCTTGACAATTATTACCTATGTGACTTTGGGAATGTTCCTCTGCCTCAGATTCTTCTAATATAAACTGGGGATAGTAATAATACCATCCCATAGGAAGGTTATGAGTATAAAATATTTTAATATTTTTAAAGTACCGTTTTTTTTGAAATGTTTATTTTTTATTTTATTTTTCCATAAGCTATTGGAGTACAGGTGGTATTCGGTTACATGAGTAAGTTCTTTAGTGGTGATTTGTGAGATTTTGGTGCACCCATCACCTGAGCAGTATACATACACTACCCCATATTTGTAGTCTTTTATCCTGTGCTCTTCCTCCCATTCTTCCCTTCAAGTCCTCAAAGTCCATTGTATCATTCTTATTCTTTTGTGTCCTCATAGCTTAGCTCCCACATATCAGTGAGAACATGCAATGTTTGGTTTTCTATTCCTGAATTTCTGTTTCTATTCACTTAGAATAATAGTCTCCAGTCTCATCCAGGTCACTGCAAATGGCTGTTAATTCATTTAGTTTTATGGCAGAATAGTATTCCATCATAAATATATGATACACATCACAGTTTCTTTATCCACCCGTTGATTGATGGACATTTGTGTTGGTTCCACGATTTTGCAATTGTGAATTATGCTGCTATAACCATGCATGTTCAAGTATTTTTGAAGTACCTTTAACAGTGTAATATCATAAGCATTATTTAAGTATTTGCTAAATTTTTAAGTGTTTTAATTTTAAAGAAGGGTGGGTGGTGGGTTGATGTTTGTTTTTAAAAGATCGGGTGCAGTGGCTCATGCCTGTAATCTCAGTACTTTGGGAGGCCGAGGCAGGCGGATCACTTAAAATCAGGAGTTCAAGACCAGCCTGGCCAATGTGGTGAAACCCTGTCTCTACTAAAAATACAAAAAAATAAGCTGGGTGTGCTGTCACACCTGTAATACCAAATACTTGGGAGGCTGAGGCAAGAGAATCACTTGAACCTGGGAGGTGGTGGTTGCAGTGAGCTGAGATTGTGCCACTGCACTTGGACTCCAGCCTGGAGACTCCATCTCAAAAAAAAAAAAAAAAAATCATTTTTGCTGCTGCAGCATGGAGAAGAGGAGTTTCAGGTGTCTAATGATATTGCCTTATATTTATTGAATACCTAATATGCCCTACAGCATTACAAAAACAGGCATAGAGTACATTTTTTCTTTAAGATATTTGAAAATAACATAAAAATTATTTTATATGCTTTTAAGCTTATAGAATTATTCTTGTATATATTAAAGCAAGACTATATTAAAAACGTGTTTTTCTTTTTGTCTTCTGGTGAATAATATGGTTAGTGAATTGTTTATTATCTTTATAGCCTCCACATGCTGGGAAGTTGCTGTCTATGTTAAAGCACATGCCTCAGAAGTATGGCCCTGATGCCTTTTTCAACTTTCCAGGAAAGAGTGCTGCAGTAAGTAATATTAATGAGGAAATCACTCCCAGTTCTTTTCTTTGCTCCTTGAAAGTACAGCCCTATGAACACCCCTGACAGGTTCTGTGCTAGGTAGAAACTTCTGCTCAACATACTTTAATCCTTATGACAGTTGTACATGTTACCTTTTGTAATTGCTTTAGAGGTGAAAAAACAGAGGCTTAACTTAGTTGAGAAAATGCCCAGTCACAGCTTGGTCAGCAATGGAATAAGAACCTCATTCTTTTAAACACAGCCATGTTTTCCTAAGTAGCTATTTGTGTGTAAAACCTTCATGTCAATCTTTGTGAACATGCTTCTTCTCACCTTTCTTTACTCTACCTCTGGTTTTTGTGTATCTGGTGTATAGAATGATAGTGAAGAAATAGAGGCTCTGAAACTTACTATGGAAGTTTTCTTTGACTTGTGAGTTTCCAAATTATGTTGGTCTCTGCGTTCTTGTAAGCTGTTAATCAGTTTATAGATAAGACAATTATGTATAATAGTGATATCTGTAATGTTTCATAATGTAGAAGCACATTATATAATATATATGTTATAGATGGAAGTTTAAAAAATCTCCTCATTATTACATTGGTCAGCCTGTTATAAGCAAAACAAACTTTTAAAAAAGGTATTTTAGTCTGTTCTTTTCCTGAGCTTATCTTTCATTCTTTTTTTTTTTTTTAAATTTTTTTTTCTTAAAAAAAAAAAAGAGACAGGGTTTCACCGTGGTCTCGATCTCTTGACTGTGTGATCTGCCTACCTCGGCCTCCCAAAGTGCTGGGATTACAGGCGTGAGCCACCGTACCTGGCCTTTGGAGTGCATTGGTGCAAACTGGGCGCACTGCAACCTCCGCCTGCTGGGTTCAAGCAGTTCTCCTGCCTTAGCCTCTTAAGTAGCTGGGACTACACTTGTGCACCACCATGCCCGGCTAATTTTTGTATTTTTAATAGAGACAGGGTTTCACCATGCTGGCCAGGCTGATCTCGAACTCCTGACCTCATGATTCCCCTGCCTTGGCCTCCCAGAGTTCTGGGATTACAGGCATGAGCCACCATCATTCATTTTTTTTTACTTTAGTTCTCATAAAATCTTACCTTAGGCACTTTGTAGCCTGGCAATATCTGCAGAAATATAAGAATATGTTTTAATATGACCTTTGTAATATTTGAATGTTATATACACAATACACAACTTTTTTTGAAAAGTTTTATTGCCCAGTTTTTTCCTTTACAGTTTTTCCTTATAAGTCATTTTAGATTTGTAGCTTTTCAGAATAATTTTACTTTCTTGTCATACAGCCTATCATTGCCTCTAACATAAAAAAGTATTCTTATGAGATTACCTTTTTTCATGCCTCATGTTATAATTTTATTATTTACAGTTCTCTGAGTTGCAGTGTGTGCATTTATCTTAAAAGTAGGCAGTTGAGCTGAACAGCTTTTGAAACTTGAATAGATGTTTTAAATTTGTTCAATGACTTCCTTTCGTTAAACAAAGCTTTTAATGAGAATTTAAAGTATTCATGGATAAAGTATTTTTACAAAGCTTTTACATCTTTGATATCATTTTTAGTGAAAGAGAACATGTGTATACACTGAATATATATTTTTTCTAAAATTTTTTTTATCAGTCTGTGAGCTATAATTATTATTTTCCTTTTTTCTCAATGCAACAGGCATTTTAAATCAGCCTCTTCAATTCTCAATAGTGTTATTTCTGAAGTTTGGCTCTATGATGTCTTTCATGTTTTATGTAATATCTAATACATATAAAAGAATATATATATTATATGTATACATAATTGCATATGTAAGTTAAAATAGAAGCTTGTGTAGTTTGAATTTTTTAAAAAATAGCTTTATTGAGATAAAGTCACATACTATACAATTAACTCATTGAAAGTATATAGTGTAGTTGGTAAATGTGTTCATATATTTGTCAACCATCACCACATCAATTTTGGGACATTTTCATCACACCCAAAGGAAACCCCTTACTGATTAGCAGTCACTCCGTATATTCTCCATCCCTATTCTAGACCATTCATATTAGTGAAATCATACAACATGTGTTTTGTGACTGGCTTTTTTCACTTATCATGGTGTTTTCAAGATCTATCCATGGTGTAGCATGTATCAGTACTTCATTCCTTTTTATGGCTAATATTATATTGTATGGATATACCATACTTTATTTAATCATTTGTCAACTAATGGACATTTGGGATTTTCACTTTTTGGGCTATTATCAATAATATTGCTATGGACATTTGTGTATGTGTGGACATATATTTTAATTTGTCTTGGGTATGTACCTAGGATTGGAATTTCTGGGTCATATAGTCTTTGTTTAACATTTTGAGGAACTTTTAGACCATTTTCCAAAGTAGCTATGTTATTTTATGATCCCACCAGCAATGTATAAGGGTCAAATTTCTCCACATCCTTGCCAATATGGTTAATATCTTTTTTTTTTTTTTTTTTTGAGACAGTCTTGCTCTGTCACCCAAGCTGGAATGCAGTGGCGTGATCTCGGCTCACTGCAAACTCCGCCTCCCTGATTCAAGTGATTCTTGTGCCTCAGCATTCTGAGTAGCTGGGATTACAGGTGCGCATCACCATGCCCGGCTAATTTTTGTGCTTTTTGCTAGAAACGGGGTTTCACCACGTTGGCCAGACAGGTCTTGAACTACTGACCTCGAGTGATCCACCTTCCTCAGCCTCCCAAAGTGCTGGGACTATAGGCTGTCTTTTTATTGTATTAGTAGCCATCCTAGTTGGTATGAAGGGGTATCTCATCGTAGTTTTGATTTACATTTCTTTTTTGACTAATGACACTGAGCATCTTTTAATGTTTTTATTGGCTGTTTGTATATCTTCTTTGGAGATATGTATGTGTAGATCTTTTGCCCATTTTAAAATTGTATTTGTCTTTTTATTATTGAGTTGTAAGATTATATATTTTGGTTACAAGTCCTTTATCAGATATTCAGTTTGCAAATGTTTACTCCCATTCTTGTGGCTTGTCTTTTCACTTTTTTAATGGTGTTCCTTAAAGCACAGGTTTTAATTTTAATAAAGTCCAGTGTATATTTTTTTTCTTTTGTCACTTGTGCTTTTGGTGGCATAATTAAAAAGGATTTGCCTAACCAAAGCACACTAAGGCCTTATGCTAATACCACAGTCTTCATCACTGTTGCTTTATATTAATGGCAGGTTTTGAATTTGGTAATATGAGTCCTCAAATTTGTTCTACTTTTCTTCTTTTTCTTTTTTTTTATTTTTTCATTTTTTTGAGCAGAGTTTGGTTCTTGTTGCCCAGGCTGGAGTGCAATGGCACTGTTTTGGGTTGAAGCAATTCTTCTGCCTCAGCCTCCCGGGTAGCTGGGATTATAGGCACCCACCACCATGCTGGGCTAATTTTTGTAATTATTTTAGTAGAGACAAGGTTTTACCATGTTGGCCAGACTGATCTCAAACTCCTGTCCTTAGGTCATCTGCCCACCTCAGCCTCTCAAAATATTGGGATTACAGGCTTGAGCCACTGCACCTGGCCTGTTCTTCTTTTTAAAGATTGTTTTGGCTATATAAAATCCTTCTCTTATGTAGTATGATCTTTTAAATAAAAATTTAAACCAAGTGGTAAAGCCATTTGTATAGTGACTTCTGAATATAATTTAAAAATATTATGAACTAATACTCTTCAGTTTCATATTTGTAGTTTTATAAAAGCAGCATATACCAAGCTTTTTCTCTTTTCTCTTTCCATTCTTGTCCATCTTTCTCTATTCTAGTACCTGAAAATTTCATTGAATTTCTAATTTGATATCACTACCTATCTCTTTTAATTAGAATCTCTGTGGATATGTTTATTTTAAGAAATGAAGAAGACAAGATTCATGTATCCAGCGGGTTACACTGAATGTTTCGTTCATTTAATTAACATTACTATATATTTGGGAAAATTAAAAAGTTATTAAAATTCTTCTTCCAGATGACATCTTCTTTCAGATATTTTAATTGTGACATAAAGTAATGTGATGTAGTACAAATACATATAGCATTGTAAAGTCTTATTTTCAGGATTTCAATAATATGGTTTTTCATGTGAGTTAATAACTCAAAGTTTTTTTCCCTTAGGCTATTGCATTACCTCCTATAGCCAAATGGCCGTACCAGAATGGTTTTACATTTCATACATGGTTTAGAATGGATCCTGTAAATAACATCAATGTAGATAAGGATAAACCATATTTGTATTGGTATGTATTTATATAACTGATTAGTGTTAAAACCTGACTTTGAAACTGAGAAGAATGTTTAGAAGTAAAATGAAAACCTATTTTTTGTAGTTTCAGAACCAGCAAAGGTCTTGGCTATTCTGCTCATTTTGTTGGTGGCTGTTTGATTATAACATCAATAAAGTCAAAAGGAAAAGGCTTTCAACACTGTGTGAAATTTGATTTTAAGCCGCAAAAGGTACATGATTTTTGAGTCATAGTTAACGTTAATAAGCTATGCTAGTCATCAAAATGCTTTGTTTTAGTGTTACTCACATAGCATGCTAAAGCATAATTCCAGTTTTACTGTTTGAAAAGATGAAGTGTAAATCACTGGATGATTGACCTCTCTGATTTGGATGTGAAAAAGATTGCAAATTTAGTTATTTATGGAGATTAGGGAGATATAAGAAAATATCTATGGCATTTATCTTACTGGTGCACATTTAATATGTGTTTGCTTTTGTACATTAAAATTTAGAGGTACAAAAGAATTTATATTAAAAATTTTTGTACCTAAAAGTTTAGTGGTACAAAACCATTAATAAATGGTTCATCAACAAAATGTATAGGTAGATAGGTAGTCAGATAGATTAAGCAAATATGGCAAAAAATTGACAATTGTGGAATCTAGGTGGTGGGAAAAAGGAGTGTTTGTACTAGATTTTCAGATTTTGGGGGTATATATGAAATTTTTCACAATAAAAAGCTGGAAAAATAATCTAGTAGTTAAGTTCTTATCAGTTGAAAGGCCCCATGAATAGATACTCTTCCAGAAGGTAAATATTGAATTTAGCAGAGGTACTCTTGTTTTATTTTTAGGTTGAAATACAACTTATTTAACTTCTACTTATCGATATGTTTGCATTATTGGGAGAATTGTTATCTTTGTATTATTTATTGTTTTTTGCCTCTTCAGTGGTACATGGTTACCATAGTGCACATCTATAACCGATGGAAGAACAGTGAACTTCGATGTTATGTGAATGGTGAACTAGCATCCTATGGAGAGATAACATGGTTTGTCAACACTAGTGATGTAAGTCGTTTCAAAATGTTGCAATGAAAATAATTGTTTTAAAAACATGAGTTTGTTAAATAAGAAAAAGTTTTATAATTTGAATATAAAATTCTAAATATTACAATGGTAGATTTTTATAAGCATAATTTGGCTAGCATGTTAATTTGTTAGTAGAACTTAATGTGTCACTAAAATATTATTGAGTTCTTATATAAAATTATTATATAAAATATAAAATTATTCCATATAGGTAGAAATAAGGATTTATAACTAACAGTGGCTATATCTGGGCGGTGGGTCATTGGTTCATTTATCAAAATGAATGGGAGCTTCACTACAAGGAGCTGTAGTGATCATTTTTATGAATGAGTTAAATGAAGCATACTTATAAATCTTGCATATAATTCTGACTGCTATAGATAACCATTATGTTATAATCTTTACAGGGTTCAAAAATAAATCTATAGGTTAGAATGAAATTTAAATTATGTCTAATTATGTCATTTTTATAAAAGCTTGAAAAAAGTACAGACCAGGAAAATGAACATAAAGTATATTACCCATACACCTTTAACTCCTCTTTTCATACCCTTTGCTACACATATGTACATATTGTGCAATGCTAACCTTATGAGATCAGGGTGTTGAATCAGACAAACTTAGGTTTGAATCTCAGCTCTGTCATTTACTGACTGTATGACTTTACCTAATCTATTAGGCCTTAGTATTTTTCCTCCTGAAAATGGACATAAAATAACTCATACTTCAGAAAGTTGTCATCTGATTAAATGAGGTAATATCCATAAATCTATTAGTAGAGTGCCTTATATAGAATGAGTGCTCAATAAATGTTAGTTCTTTTTTTAATACAAAAAAGCACTCATATGTAAGTACTGTTTTGTAACCTGTTTTTTCTTACATTAAATTTTATTGAGTGTTTTTTTTTTATTCCAGGCATTATAATAAATAGATTTATTTTTAAAAAGCCCCAGCAACCTTGCAAGATAAGCATTATTATAATCTTCATTTTACAGATAAGGTGAAGCACAAAGAAGTAACTTGCCATGCTCAGTGGCATAGGAAGCAGGGATTTGATCTAGGTGGTTTGGCTTGAGAACACACATATTTAAAACTTTTCTATATCCCCTAATGTCATTACATACACATTTTTCAAAATTCTTTTTAATGGTCTCATGGTATAAATTATTTTAGTCCACTTAGATGCAGTTTAGAATGGACAAAACATTTATGACAATATAGGTTTTTATTATTTCTGGAGTATGTTTTTTTGGTTTCTACTAAAATTTTTTTTTCTCTTACAGACCTTTGACAAATGTTTCCTTGGCTCGTCAGAAACAGCAGATGCTAATAGAGTATTCTGTGGTCAGATGACTGCAGTTTATCTTTTCAGTGAAGCTCTTAATGCAGCTCAGATTTTTGCTATTTATCAGTTGGGCCTGGGATACAAGGTACTTTACGTACTGTTCTGTGCTTAACCAATGTTAGTTCAGCTTGATTTGAAGGTGGTTTATACATAGAGAGTTTGGTTAATGGATACCAAAAAAAAAAAAAAAGAAAAAAGAAATAATGAGATCTATTTGATACCACAGCAGGCTGACTATAGTCAATAACTGTACATTTTAAAATAAATGGTGTAATTGGATAGTTTTCAACTAAATAGATAAATGCTTGAAGGGATGGATATCCATTCTGCATTATATGCTTATTTCATGTTGCATGACTGTATTAAAACATCTCATGGACTCCAAAAATATATACAGCTATTATTTACCCAAACAAAAAAGAGATGTGTGCAAATGGTGACCAGAAGAGAGTAGGAGTAGCCTACTTATATTAGACAAAATAAACTTTAAGTCAAAAACAGTCGAAAGAGACAAAGGAAGGACATTATATGATGATAGGGTTACCCAGAAAGAACAACTATAAATATATGCACTTAACATCGGAGCTCTCAAACACATGAAGCAAACTTTGATATAATTAAAAAAAGCAGATAGCAGCACCATAATAGTAGGAGACTTTAGTATTCAACTTTCATTAATGAATAGAACAACCATACAGAAGGTCAGTAAGGAAACAGAGACTTGAATAGCAACACAGCCCAGTGTATTTAGCAGGAATATACATAACACTTGATGAAACAACGGTAGAATGTGCCTCCTCCTCCTCTTTCTTCTCCTCTTCCTTCTTTTCCTCTTCCTCCTCCTCCTGTTCCTCCTCCTCCTCCTCCTCTTTTTTTTTTTTTTTTTTTTTGAGACAGAGTTTCACTCTTGTTGCTCAGGCTAGAGGGCAATGGTGTGATATTGGCTCATGCAACCACTGCCTCCCGGGTTCAAACATTTCTCCTGCCTCAGCCTCCCAAGTAGCTGGGATTACAGGCATGTGTCACCACACTCGGCTAATTTTGTAATTTTAATAGAGACAAGGTTTTGCCATTTTGGTAAGGCTGGTCTCAAACTCCTGACCTCAGCTGATCTGCATGGTTTGGCCTCCCAAAGTGCTGGGATTACAGGTGTGAGCCACTGCGCCTGGCCTGCATTCTTCTTAAGCACATATGGAACATTCTCCAGGATAGACACATGTTATATGACAAAACAAGTATCAACAAAGTTAAGACTGAAATTATACCAGGTATCTTCTTTAACCACAGTAAAATGAAACCAGAAAGCAGTTCAAAGAAAAACTGAAAAGTCCACCAACATTTAGAAATTAAACAACACATTTAAAATAGCCATTGGGTTCAAAGGATAAATCATAAGGACATTTAGGAAATATCTTGAGACAAATCAAAATGTAAACTCAACATGCTAAAACTTATGGGATTCAGTGACCTCAGTTCTAAGAGAGAAGATTATAGTGATGATAATTTATAAAAGAAGAAGGATCTCAAATCAACAACTGAATTTATACAGCATGGAACTGGAAAAAGAACAAATAAAGTCAATGTTAGCATAGGGCAGGAAATGGTAAAAATCTGAGCAGAAATAAATGAAATAGTGCAGCAGTCTCCAGCCTTTTTTGTCCCAGGGACCAGTTTCATAGAAGATAGTTTTTTCATGGACCATGGGTGGTGGGGGCACAGTGGTGATGGTTTTGGGATGATTCAAGTGCATTGCATTTATTGTGCACTTTGTTTCTGTTATTATTACATTGTAATATAAAATGAAATAATTATACAGCTCACCATAATGTAGAATCAGTAGGAGCCCTGAGTTTGTTTTTCTGCAACCAGATGGTCTCATCCTGGGATGATAGGAGACTGATAGATTATCAGATATTAGATTCTCATAAGGAGCACACAATCTAGATCTGTTACATGTGCAGTTTACAATAGGGCTCACTGTCCTATAAAAATCTAATGCTGCCATTAATTTGACAGGAGACGGAGCTCAGGCAGTAATGTGAGTGATGGGCAGTGGCTGTAAATACAGATGAAGCTTTGCTCTCTTGCCTACTGCTCACTTCTTGCTGTGGTTCCTAACAGGTCATGTACCTGGTTGGAGAACCCTGGAATAGAAAAAAGTAAAGCAGTGGGAAAAAAATCAGTGAAACTAAGAGTTGTTGTTGCTTTTTTAAACATCAACAAAATTGACAAATTCTTACATAGACTAAGGAAAAAAGAAGAGTACATAAATAAGTAAAATCAGAAATTAAGAAGGAGGCATTATAACATGCCACAGAAATAGGATTATAAGAGAATGCTATGAAAAGTATATGCCAAGAAATTAGATAATTTAGAATGAATGGATAATTTTCTAGAAATATACAACTTACTGAGACTGAATCAAGAATAAATTTTAAAAAATCGGAAAAGACCTATAGCTAATAAGGAGATTGAATCAATAATAATAAACTTTTCAGCAAAGAAAGCCGAGGAGTAGATGGCTTTCCTGGAGAATGCTGTCAGTCATTTAAAGAAGAATTAATACCAATTCTTCTGAAACTTACAAACATTTTATGAGGAGGAAACATTACCAAACTGATTTTATAAGGCCAGTGTTACCCTGATACCAAAGCCAGATCAAGATGATGTAAGAAAGAAAACTTAGGCCAATATCCCTGATGAATATTGATGGAAAAATCCTTAATAAAATACTAAGAAATAGAATTTAACAGCACATTAAAAGAATTATATACAATGTCAAATTAAGATTTCTTTCTGGAATGCAAGGATGGTTCAACAATGCAATGTACCACATTAACAGTGAATTACAAAAATGCAATGTACCACATTAACAGTGAATTACAAAAACCATATGATCGTATATCAACTGATGCAGAAAAAGCATTTGACAGAATTCAACACTGTTGATATTTAAAAAACCCAAAACACTGAACAATCTGTGAATAGAAGGAAACTACCTCAACATAATAAAATATATATGGAAAGCCCATGACTAACACCATATTGGACAGTGAAAAACTGACAGTTTTTCCTCTAAAATCAGAAACAAAGCAAGGGTGCCTATTCTTCCCATTTCTATTCAGCACAGTATTTGGAAATCCAGTTAGAGCAATTAGGCAAGAAAAAGAAATGAAAGGCATCTAAGTTGGAAGGGAAGAAGTAAAATGATCTGTTTGCATATGGCATGGCCTTATACCTAAAAAACGGTAAAGATTTCACCAAAAACTGTTAGGACTAGTAAATGAATTCAGCAGAGTTGCAGGGCACAAAATCAATACACACAAATCAGTTGTGTTTCTATGTGTTAAGAGTGAACAGTTTGAAAAGTACAAAAATAATTCCTTTTACAATAGCATCAAAAAAATAAAATACTTAGAAATAAACTCAACCAAGGTGGCAAAAGAGCTCTACCCTGACTCCACCAAGGAGGCAAAAGAGTTGTACACTGAAAAGTAGAAAATGTTGCTCACAGAATTCAAGAGACCCAAATAAATGTAAAGACATCCCTTGTTCATGTTGTGGACGACTTAATATGTTAAGAATCTATACTACCTAAAACAATCTACGGATTCAGTGCAGTTCTTATCAAAATCTCAATGGCACTTTTTTTTTTATAAATAGAAAAACAATTCTGAAATTAATATGGAATCTTAAGGGACTCTCAGTAGCCAAAACAATATTAAAAAGGAGAACAAAGTTGCAGGCTTTACACTTCTGGATTTCAAAACTTATTACAAGGGTATAATACATAATGAAAATAATGTTAGACTTGCTTAGACACATAGGACAATGGAACAAAACAGAATGTCCAGAAAAAACTTTTGCATATATGGTCAAATGATCTTTGACAAATGAGGCAAGGCCACATACTGGGGAAAGGACAGTGTGTTAAACACATGATTTTGGGAAAACTGGATATCCAGATTGAAAAAAGTTATATACTTAATTCATATTATATATTATGTACAAAAATGAGCTGAAAATAGATTAAAGACCTAAAAGTAAGATGTAAAATTATAAAATTCCTAAAAGAGGCCAGGTGCAGTGGTTCATGCCTATAATACAGCACTTTGGGAGGCCCACATGGGCGGATCATGAGATCAGGAGTTTGAGACCAGCCTTGCCAACATGGTGAAACCCCGTCTCTACTAAAAATACAAAAAAATTAGCTGGGTATGGTGGCAGGCACCTGTAATTCCAGCTACTTGGGAGGCTGAGGCAGGAGAATCATTTGAACCCAGGAGGCGGAGGTTGCAGTGAGCTGAGATTGCGCCATTGTACTCCAGCTTGGGTGAAACGACAAGACTCCATCTAAAAAAAAAAAAAAAAAAAAACTATAAGAAGCTTTATGACATTGAATTTGGCAGTGATTTCTTGATTGTGACACCAAAAGCACAGGCAACCAAAGTGAAAACAGACAAGTAATAAGATGATGTCAAAGTTGCAAAGTTCTGCACATCAAAGGAAATACCCAGCAGAGTGGAAAGGTAACCTACAGAGTGAGAGTAAATATTTAGCAATCATATATCTGATAAGGGGTTAATATCTAGAATATATGAATTCTATGACTCAAAGAGAACAGCAGCAAAACAAATGCATAAAAGAGTTGAGTAGACATTTCTTTAAAGAAGATATAAAAATAGCCAATGAAATTAAAAAAAAAAAGCCAATGAACATATGAAAAGATGCTTAAAGAACATATGAAAAGTTATTAGAAATGTGCTCATTTAAACTACAGTGAACTATCACTTCACCTTCTAGGATGACTACTTAAGAAAACATAGTTAACAAGTGTTGGTGAGAATGTGAAGAAATTGGTACCTTTGTGCACTGTTGATAGAAATGAAAAATGGTGCAGCCGCTATGGACAACAATATAGAGGTTCCATAAAAAATTACAAATAGAACTTCCATGTGATCCAGTAATCTCACTTATGGGATATATACAAAATAATTGAAAAGAGGATCATGGAGACATATTTGCACACAAAAAATAATTGCCCACCCATGGACATATTTGCCCACCCATGTTCATCGTAATATCATTCTCAATAACGAAGAGAAAGGAGTAACCCAGATGTCCATTAGTAGATGAACGGATAAAGAAAATGTGACAGATACACACATGCACAAAGAGGACCATTATTCAACCTTAAAAAAACAAATCCTGTCATCAGTTAAAACATAGATGAGCTATGAAGACACTCTGCTAAGTGAAATGCTTTGGTCACAAAAAGACATATACTGTATGATTCCCATGGGGAGCAGGAAATGGGGAGTTGTTAAATGGCTACAGTTTCAGTTTTGCAAGATGTAAGAGTTCTAGAGATTTGTTTTTTAACAATATAAATATAGTTAATGTTCCTCAGTTATACACCTAAAAATGCTTAAGATGGTAAGTTGTATGTTTTTGACTGCAATTAAAAAGAAAAGAATATAAGGAAAAAAAGATAAAATGTGATGTATTGGTCACTTTTACATTTTTAAGGTAAGGTTTTAATGTCAATTCGTCTTGATTTCTGTTACATACATCTTTAAAATAAAATTCAGCTAATTTTACAAGTAAGCAAGGAGGGATCCTCTTATATGATACTTTTAAAAGATTATCAGTGGTCTCTCTCCTTAAAGTTTGACACCTGTGTTGATTTGTACTTAGATTCTCTTTTTGTGGCATACTATTTAACTGTTTTCTTTTTAATTCTTAGGGTACATTTAAATTCAAAGCAGAAAGCGACCTTTTCCTTGCTGAGCATCACAAACTTTTGTTGTATGATGGCAAACTCTCTAGTGCCATTGCATTCACGTACAATCCACGGGCTACAGATGCCCAGCTTTGCCTTGAGTCATCCCCTAAGGACAACTCTTCAATTTTTGTTCATTCACCACATGCACTTATGCTCCAGGTACTAACTGTGATCTTTTAAGAACATTTTTAATGGTAATTTTTGATGTGTTATTGAGATGTATTTAGTAGCTTCTGTTAAACACATGGAATGTCACATTTTACTGTTTCTCCGTTTACTGTTGTGCCTTATTTTTAATTGTTTTGGAAAAGAAATCATTGAACTCTTTACTGTGTTTTTAATCTTACAAGGATGTGAAGGCAGTTTTAACACATTCCATTCAAAGTGCTATGCATTCAATTGGAGGCGTACAAGTACTGTTTCCACTTTTTGCACAGTTGGATTACAGGCAATATTTGTCTGATGAGGTTGACTTGACTATCTGGTGAGTGTCTTTATTTGTTTCTTTAATTTGCTGTGAGCGTTACTTTCATTACTGTTGAACTACACAATATTTTGTCGTTCAGGTTCATTCTAGATTCAAAATAATTTAAAGAAACTTGTGAACTCTAAACTATTACAAGTCCATGTTAATTATGTCAGTATTAATTTAAGTTCTTGTTTATTGGTAGGAAATATGGAAGTTGTAAGGAACACAGTAAAGTGGTTTTAGATTAACGTAACAAATGGCAATAATAGGTCACTCAAAATAAATACATTTTTTTGTCTAAATTAAAATTTTTTTGATACCTGTAACTCAGAATGCAATAAGAAATTTCTAATTTTTGAAATATTTTAAATTATTTGATAATGATTTATCGAACTTAGCTTTTCATATTTTAATTATTTATTATTGATTGCATTTATGTAATTGGAAGCCAAAATTTTTAATAGTGTTGTCTGAGGTAAATTAGCCTTTTTTTTTTTTTTTTAAATGTAATCAATTTTCACTTTAAGACCTCAAATTATGAAACTACGAAAAAAAAAAAAAATAGATTGAGGAAACTCTCCAGGGCATTGGACTGGGCAAAGATTTCTTGAGTAATACCCCACGAGCACAGGCAAGCAAACCAAAAATTGTCACATGCACGAGATCACATCAAGTTAAAAAGCTTCTGTACAGCAAATTGAAAAGATAACCAACAGAATGGGAGAAAATATTTGCAAACTATCCACCTAACAAGGGATTAATAACCAGAATATATAAGGAGCTCACACAACTGTGTAGGAAAAAAATCTATTATAATAATCTGATTTAAAAACAAGAGGTACGAATAGACAGTTCTCAAAAGAGGATATAGGAATGGCAAACAGGCACAATTAGATTGTACATTTAGCACATTTTTGTCTCTTGTGTTGTAGTTCTGAGTCTAAAAAAGACAAAGGCATATAAATTCTAGGGTAAGTCATAAAATACGGGACAGGATGTCTAAATTTCTCGTATCTGTATATTCTAGTGAAACTATATATAGTGAAATTATTGTTTCATTTGTAGTGAAATTATTGTTTTGTTACTTGAGAAATTTAAGTGACTTTTACATTCTCTCATTTTGAAATTCTCCCTTTGATTTTTGCTTTTATACATAGCTTGATGTCTACCACCAATGTGTATAGTTAATGATGGAATAGTTTTGTCCTGATTATTTTTAGACAACTTTTTTTTTTAAAGAAAAAGTTATCAAATCTAGTATTTGTCAACTTATATTTTAAAATATTAAAATTTAATTAACCTTGACATATTAATACTTTATAGAATTATTTTGTGCCCTGTTCTAGCAGGGCTTACAGTTTTCCTCCTTCCCTTCCTCCCCTTCTTTTTCCCTTACCTTCCCCCTTCTCCCTTCTTTCCCCCTTCTCTTTTCTTCCCCTTCCTTTCCCCATTCCTTCCCTTTCCCCTTCCCTTCACCCTTCCCTTCCCTTCTCCCTTCCCTTCTTTCCCTTCTCCCTCCCCTTCCCTCTCTCTTGCCTACCTGCCTCCCTCTCTCCCTCCCTCCCCTTTTCCCTCCCTTTCCCCTTTCCCTTCTCCTCCCCTCTCCCTTCCTCCTTCCCCCTTTATTGGAATTGCTGACAGTGAAAGCACTGATGTGGAGGAGATGGGTTGCTGCACAGGCTTTCTCTCTCTTTTTTTTTGGGGGGGGGGAGGTGGGACTTTTCTCTGAGAAGGCTATAACAACTGACCTTATTCCTTTCCCTTCTGGGTATCTTTAAAAATTGTGGGTAGTAGAGCATGGTTGTAGCCCCTATTCAGTTTTAAAAGTGTTCAAGACTGACTGGAGAATTACAATTTTGTTGTTGGGATAATGAACAAACTTCTTAGTGTTCAAGGACCTCAAGTTTGTCTCCAAGTTAACTTTCTCATCTTTCTCTTCGTGTACCCTCTGCTCTATTCTTACTAGGCCAGTCTGGAGCCCTAACACATTTTGAGGATTTACACCTTACTGTGTTTGCTGTACTGTCTTTTCCCATCTTTTGACCCTGACTCTTCAAGGTTAAATATACTTGCTTATCTAAGTTATATCTATTCTTTAAGGCCTTACTATATTTTTATTAAGTATTTGTTATTGCTTGTTTTTGGAGGTTGCTTATTTTTCTCTGTATCATGCATATTTGTCATTGTTTCTAAGTAATTCATCTATTAATATGTTTGGGATAAAGTATATGAAATAAATATTTGAGTAACTCCTAATCCTACATTAAAAATCTAGTTCTGATGTATTGTTGGAAGCAGTTTTAGTGGAATGTCAATTTCTTTGAAATAGAGAACTTTTTATTAAGGTGAATGGAAGAGTTACCTCTATCTAACCTAATTTTTAAAAATAAAATATATTTTTTAATCATTGCCTTTTTAAAAATTCTAGTTCAACCTTGCTGGCTTTTATCATGGAGTTGTTGAAGAACTCAATCGCTATGCAGGAGCAGATGCTTGCCTGTAAGGGCTTCTTGGTAATAGGATATAGCCTTGAAAAGGTAAATTATGAAATATTTTGTGTATTTGATTCTTAATTTACAGGCCATGCATTTGTTCTCTAACTGGCTAAGGAATTTTGTCTGCAAGAATATTTCCTTGGTTGCAGAAAATTACCTAAAGTAAAATAACATTTTGTTGTTGCCTCCATTCTTCTATTAAACAAATGTAATAGTGAGCCTCCTTTGTTCCTTACATTAAACAAATGTAATAGTGAGCTTCTTTAACTTTGAGCATAATTTGTGGGCCAACTTTTTTCCTGGTAGGAATAGCCTGTAATTCACTTACTTTGACGTGAATTTGTAGTAACATTTGAACTACTTTTTTTGCAGTCTTCCAAATCTCATGTCAGCAGAGCAGTACTTGAACTTTGCCTTGCATTTTCAAAATATCTGAGTAGTCTGCAAAATGGGATGCCCCTGCTCAAGCAATTGTGTGATCACATTCTTCTTAATCCTGCCATATGGATTCATACCCCAGCCAAGGTAATATATAGCTATATATTGATATTGTTTTACTATCTTTGCTGTTTTTGTGCTTGAGAAGAGTGAAAATTTAGAGGATTTTCTTTTTTTTTTAAATGTACTATTATGCAAGATTTCAGTGGGTTGCTTTTTTTTTGACTAAGCATCCTTTTTTGCTCTTCAGGAAAAATTGCAAATCTGTGTGTGTGTATATATATGAATATATACAAAGAATATGTGCATACAAAGAATATGTATATTCTTTGTAAACTGTCATTATTTTAAAAGATACAGGTATAATCTTTATTTTCTGAAATTAAATGAAATAAAGTTTTATTTGAGACTTTATTTACTAAATATAAATCAAAGTTAGACAGTTTTAATGTAATTATTAATGTCTCCTAGTAACTGTAGCTTCGTTCTATTGTAAATATGCATATATATTTTTTCTTTTTTTTCGATTCCTTAAGAACTCACCCTGCTCCTGCTCTCTCTCTTTTTTACTTCACACTTTTGCCTTCCAACGTGATGAACTACTGAATTTCATTCTTACAGGTACCACTGAAATGTCACTTTTTCTTTGAAGGCATGATATACTAGTCTCATGTAATCATTTTCGTTTCACGTTAATTCAAATTATAAGAACATTTGTACAATTTTTTTTTCAGTTTTGTAAAAACCAATTCTACGTGAATGCAGATGAATTTGTGGTAAGGTGTGTGAACAACATATTTAATAAATCTTAATGTTGTAATAAATTGTCCTGCTGGGCGCGGTGGCTCACGCCTGTAATCCCAGCACTTTGGGAGGCCGAGGCGGGTGGATCACGAGGTCAAGAGATCGAGACCATCCTGGTCAAAATGGTGAAACCCCGACTCTACTAAAAATACAAAAAATTAGCTGGGCATGGTGGCGCGTGCCTGTAATCCCAGCTACTCAGGAGGCTGAGGCAGGAGAATTGCCTGAACCTAGGAGGCGGAGGTTACGGTGAGCCGAGATTGCGCCATTGCACTCCAGCCTGGGCAACAAGAGCGAAACTCCGACTCAAAAAAAAAAAAAAATTGTCCTAAAAATTCAGTAGTGGCACTATTAAGCATGACTTGAAACAGAACGTTTTATTAAACTGAACAGTTGTATCTATCTTATGTACAGTTTTTGTTAGAAGTTGTATTATTTCAATCCCACTGTTTTCCTCTCTCCCCTTCTGCTTTTGGGTCCACTTGCAGTGTATCTCATTGATTAAGTTGGAATAGCTCTTACTTATTCTAGTTGTCAGAAAAGTCTGCAGACTTTTTTTTTTTTTTTTTTTTTTTTTGCTTTTCTAGAGTCTTAATACCTTATTTTCAGCTGGTCTTTTCAAATGTTAAAGAGAAAAACAGCTGCTGACTCTGATTGCCATTTGGAAATAATCAAAGGAGGCAGCTGGAGGTTGTAGCTTTTTATCTCCAGGTCGAATTTGACCTCATTTTCTTCCATGACCCTCAGTCTTATTTCTTCTTGAGGATTGTTTAAAGTTACTTTTAAAACCTTTTACTAGACACTTTTTTGTCTTACTAATCAGCATATTTGTAAGGCTTTGTGTCTCTTTTGATGTGGTCAGAAAACCTCTTATTTTATATGCTTAGTTGGAGGGGAATTAAAAAAACTCATCTTATGGTTTTCTTAGTTTCCTAGTATTATTATACCCTATTTCTTTTACTTTTTAATAACTTTTCTTAATTTCTTTTTTAGAATTTGCAATGAGTCGATAATATTAACATTTTCTCCTGTTTTAGCCATCTGCTTTATGTATCTACGAGGGGTTTTGTCTGCTTTTATTTTATTATAAAGACAGTAATAAAAAAGGGCAGATCCAAATTTTGTTTGACTTGAAGGTTAAATGTTTATCACATGGGAAACTTTTTAAGAAGAAGAGTACAATATAATGCATACAAAATTAGGTTGAGGGTCTTGGAAGAAACATTAATAGATCAGTGGTCATAAAGTTTAAGCTTTATCAGCTTCACAGTCAATCCACCTCTGGTTAAAAGTCTGGTTGTGTGGATGTGAAAAGCTTTGCTTTTAGAAAAGGGAGCTACCAGCAATTTATAATTTCCATTTATCTTAGATCTGCTCAGAGACCATCTTTTTAATGACCTGGCAGGAGAGATGAATTTTCTTGTCTACCATGGTCCATTGTTTACTCAGCAAGTATTTGTTGAGTGACTACTTTATGGTGGACACTGTGGATATGGTGATGAACAAGATAGACTTGACTCTTGCCCTCATAGAATTTAGATCTAGTGGGAAAGACAGATGTTAACACACAATTTGTATGGCTATTAGAGTATATAATGAGTGAATGAGGAAAGGCTTATTCATAATTAGCATATGAATAATCTTGAGGTCTTTCATTCATCCCTATATGTTGCTGTTAAATTCTGTTTGCTTATTTTTTTGACACAGGGTCTCACTGTGTCACCAAGGCTAGATTGCAGTGATGTGATCTCAGCTCACTGCAAACTCCACCTCCCTAGCTCCTCCTGAGTAGTTGGGACTGTAGGTGTGTACCACCACACCCAGCTAATTTTTGTATTTTTTGTAGAGATGATGTTCTGCCATGTTGCCCAGGCTGGTCTTGAACTCCTGGGCTCAAGTGATCCACCTGCCTCAGCCCCACAGAGTGCTGCAGTCACAGGTGTGAGCCATCAAGCCTGGCCTCTGTTCATTTTTCTTTTACCACAGTATCATTCTCAATGGACTGACTTTCTCTAGTTTTCCATTTCTTTGTGTAAATAATCACTATTCTACCAGAATTACAACATGTTCTTCTATTTTGTTTGAGACAGAGTCTTGTTCTGTCATCCAGGGTAGACTACAGTGGTATGGCCATGGCTCAGTACAATCTTGAACTCCTGGGCTCAATCAGTCCTCCTGCCTCAGCCTCCTGAGTAGCTGATACTGCAAGTGTGCATCACCATTCCCAGCTAACGTTTTACATTTTTTGTAGAGACTGGGGTCTTACTTTTTTGTCTAGGCTGGTCTTGAACTTCCAGCCTCAAGCCATCCTCCTCTCTCAGTCCCAAAAACTGTTGGGATTATAGGGTTTAGCCACCATGCCCAACCCCAATATATTCTTAACATATGACTCATCATTTCTTAGCCCCAGAAGTTTTAATCGTTTTCCATTGCTCTCAGTAGTCCTTTATCTAGCATTAAGCCTTCATGTAAATTCTTATTTCTAGATTTTCTAGATTAAAAATGGAAATATCCTCTGGATAGGGAGGTACCAAAAGGTTTCCCTAGAGTGGTGGTTCTCAGTCTTGACTGCTGATAGAGTCAGTTGGGGTATCTTTTTAAAAACAAACAAAAATAGAATCTCACCACTTCCACTGCAGATTCTGATTTTATCAGTCTGGTGTTACTGGTGGAGGGTGTCCAGGTTCGTGGCGTCTTGAACAAAGAATTGGACAAAATGCACAAAGCAAGGAAAGAATGAAGCAGCAAAAGCAGAAATTTATTGCAAATGAAAGTACACTCCACAGTGTGGGAGCAGGCCTGAGCATAGAGGCTCAAGACCGCTGTTACAGAATTTTCTGGGGTTTAAATACCCTCTAGAAGTTTCCATTGGTTGCTTGGTGTTTGCCCTATGTAAATGAAGAGGGTGAAGTAAAGTTACAAAGTCATTTACTTGGTGTATGCCCTGTGTAAATGGAGCGGATATTTCCTGTCATAGCTGAAGCATTCTATTTGATTTAGTTCTAAGAAGCCCTTAGGCTCCCTGCCTCCAGATCCTATTCTCCTGCCTCACTGGGATGGGACTCAGGCATCAGTATTAAAAAAAAAATGTTTTTCAGTTATTTTAGTGTGCAGTCAAGATTGAGAACTGTTGTTCTAACTATAGGGCAATCTATTTCAACCATCATCTTTCTTGCTTGAAATTTCCTCTTGTATTCTGTCTATTCTACTACTCATCTTCAAAGCTTACCTTAATACCTACTTTATTAGTGAAGCTTTTCTTCACTATTTCAGTTTATCCTATGATAATTTGTCTGTCCTTTGAATTAGTATTTCCTAGCTCTATGTCAATTACACATTGCTTCATGACTTTTTTCATGTTTTGGTAGGCATATTTATTATCTTTGATTTGTTTTGCTTAAATATAAGTGTACTTTTTAAAATCTTTTCCACTGTATTTCAGCTACTTAGGGGCAGTATATGTGCCATTATATTTCCATGATACAGTGTTTTGCATATAGTTAGATTTAAATATTTGCTAAGGGACTGAAATAATATGGTTAAGAATTTGAGCCATGTCATATTGCCTCAATGACAAGTAGATTGGGCCTATCAATTTGAACAGCAATAGCTACATCAAAATAACATTTTGCAGCAAATCAGTAGATCACAGTGTGTGTGTGTGTGTGTGTGTGTGTGTGTGTATGGTTTTGTGAATTACAATCATCTTTCAAGCTCCACTTTTAAGTAATTCAGAACCTGCCACTTTTTACCATGTAGGATTTATTCATTGACACTCTAATTCATTTAGCCTTGTTTATTTGTAGGGCACCTGGAAGATAGGTACCTAGTTTTCACTCTCTAGAGAGATCCCCTAAGTAACACTGAGGTATCTTGCAGGGTTGAAAAGGAAAATGCCCTCATTGTCCAGGAAGGTAGCATAAATGTTCAATTATAAATGATCAGTAGTTTGGTCTGTGGTCAAGGGAAGAATATATATATCCTATGCTTAAAGTTGTTCAGCTTATAAAATATACCCACTACAATAAAATGAAAAATTCTTGATTTCAGCATGAGAGTAGAACAAAAGCTGTCGTTATGTTTGCTGCTGTAAGTAATGAAGTATAGTTGATGAGTTTGAGACCCATAATTTTACTGAAAAAAAAAAAAAATTTTTTTTTTTTTCGAGGCAGGTCCTCATTCTGTCGTCCAGGCTGGAGTGCAGTGGTGCTATCTCGGCTTACCGCAATTTCTGCTTCCTGGGTTCCTGCCTCAGCCTCCTGAGTACCTGGGAGTACAGGCGTGCATCAGCATGCCTGGCTAATTTTTGTGTTTTTTGATAGAGACGAAGTTTCACGATGTTGGCCAGGCTGGTTTTAAACTCCTGACTTTAAGTGATCTGCCCGCCTCAGCCTCCTAATGTGGTGAAATTACAGGTGTGAACCACTGTGGTGGGCCAGTTTTTTGTTAAGAAGAAATGTGCAGTCATGGAGTAGCACATGTATTATTTCTTTCTCTTACATATGAAGAGCTGATATTTTGAAGTTAATATAAACATATACAACTTCTTATGTATTTTTTAGACTATGTACGTATCAATGAGGTTAGTAGAATCCTTTTCTAATTGAGGGACATGATATACATGTTGAGAGATTATAATGTTATGATGAAAATGCTAGATTGGAATGTTTCTTGTAATGAGCTACTGTAACTGAATTTTGTTTTTCTAGTATTCCTCAAGGTAAACTCTATATCTTTTTCTATGATTTTCTTTCTTTCGGTTTATTTCTATTTATTTTTTCCTTTTGAATTACTACTACTTTTTTCTTTCTTTTGAGCCATTTCAGCTTCTGATTTTCTGCAAAAGTTACATTTGAAAGAAAATCTAGTGTTTTCAAACAACTATGCATAGATAGTATAAGTAATAAGTCTGTTATAAAGAAATTACTCATGCTCAGGAATAATTGCTGGTTGCTAAATAGGAATCACAAAATTATTTCCATGGAATAATGTAGCAAAAAATTATATATTTGATGGTGTTTACTTTATAATGCTGCTATAAAAGAAGAAATTACCTGGCTTGATTTTATAAGGAGTGTGTGTGCATGTGCTTGTATGTCAATGGGTATGTGTTATCTAATACGTATATTATTATCAGGCTCAGCATCTTACTTTTTGGAAGAAGTATGGTGAAAATAAAACAGCCTGAAAGTGTTACTGGAAACAGAAACTCTGCTGGTGGGATTCTCTAAGTTCTTCATTTTTCTTCTGTAGGTTCAGTTAATGCTCTATACTTATCTGTCCACGGAATTCATTGGTACGGTAAACATATATAATACCATTCGGAGAGTCGGAACAGTGCTTCTCATCATGCACACGCTGAAGTACTACTATTGGGCAGTGAATCCTCAGGATCGAAGTGGTATCACCCCAAAAGGATTAGGTATATCTGTATATTACTAAATGCAAATCAGGATTTAATTTTTCATTTTGTTTTAACCAGTACTGTCATATTATTTGGGCAGTTTCTCTATATTCCATTATGGTAAAATTTTTTTAAATCTCATTGATAATGTTAATAGTTTGTCCTACATTATAGTTTCTAGAGGTTAATAACTTGCTACTTGTGTGGAAGAAGAATACTTGTGCTGGTATGAGTTGTTGGGGGAACAAATATGACTAGGATGGTTGTTGTAAGGCACTGAAAATGCTGAGAAATTCTTAATTAGTTTTTAGTAATTGATATTGAGAATTGATTATCACAATGACATTTGTAGAAATGGTGTTTTGGAAATATGGGGGTTTCTTACAGAGTAGGAGGTATCTGCTTCTCTTAAAGATATAATTATTAAATTACAAAATGTTAGTAATTATTTTCTTACATAATGAGGACTAACTAGCTGAAAGGGTAATATTTATTCATCATGTCCAGAAGTTCATGTTAAGGGGTCATAATAGAACATTTGACATATAGTGGCTGTTTTGCTTGTAATTATTGCAATCTCCTTGGAATTGGCTTACATCAAAAAGGGAGGTATCAGCTTGTATAAACTGGCAGTTTCAGATACAACTTGGTGTAGATATTCAGAATATGGCCACAGGACCGAATTTGTCTTGCTGCATTTACCATTTCTGCGTTGGCTGTTTTTACATATTCTTCCCCTTTGTAGTAGCAAGCAGCCAGTCCACTTTCACATCCATAATAACTTAAATCCAGTGTAAGAGCATCTGCCTATATAAAATATTTCCAGTGAAAGTCTCTTTTAGTCTCTTTCTTGCTCATTGGCTTTCATTGTATCATGTGTCCATTTCTGTGGTTAGAATTGTTCTGATTGCTTAGAAATGGAGGCATCCTATACCTTGGAGACATGATCTGAGAGTGAAGATGACTTCAGTCACTTGGTAAAAATTAAGGACTGTTGCTTGAAATTAAGAAATAGATGCCGAGGAGTCAAATAACATGCATTCTGATTGTAGTAAGAGGCTTTGGTTGTTTGCGATTTACAAAGATTGTCACATTTGCATACTACTTTTTATATCACTTTCAAAATAAGCTTGGTTTAGTCTCAGATAATCTGGTATCTATAATTCAGCAAGCTATGAACTTTTTAAGCTGGCAAGGTGTGGCAGATGTAGACCTGGTCAGAATTTTCTGATGATTATTTCATGGTGCTATAGGTGTATCATGTACTGTACTAGGTGCTAGTTTTGTATTCTTGCCTGCCTTTCATAATTGGTTAGTGACCTTGGGAAAGTCTCATTCTTCAAATGAGAGAGCTGGACAAATTTTGTGATCCTATTCTAACTCTAGCCTATTTTTGTTTTTTTGGTCTAGGAATCATATGGAAGAAATTTTAAACAATTTTCTTCCTATTTTCATTGATCTGTTCAAGGTCATGGTGGTCCTAAGCTTTGGTGGTCTAAGAACTATCTGTAAATCGTGATTATTGGGGGTAAATTATAAAATATATGAGGCAAACAGGTCACTAACTTAGGATCTTAGAACAATGAGTATTTGGTTTCAAAAGCTTTCTACTTGGAAATTAAATGTTTGAGACATGAAAATTAATTTAATGTGAGCCATGTGTGACCAAGGACTTTTCTAAGCAGAGAAGGAGGTGTCAGAGGCAGTCATCATGTTTCCCTTCTTCATGAATGATACCGTGTGGTGAGGGATTCTTTTTCAGATTTTTGTATTAGCCTATATAATGATAACAGTAGAAGAAATGTTGTCATACTGAATTCACATATAATAATAATGTTGAAAATTTAGATTTTCCTTTGTTTTTTTTTTCTTTTAAACATTTGTTACTTTACTAACACTCTCAGAGTCTGAAAATAAGTGCATTATTAGTGAATACAAATTTTATTTGTTACCTCATTTTTATGTTTTGGACATTCACCTATTCAAAGTACAAACTTCTTCATTGTAGTTTCAACATAACCTGTTTTGTATGTTTGAAATATTGTGTATACGATGCATGTAAGATTGAACACTTGTCTTTCTAGAGGCATAAAATAAAAGAGAGGTCATTCTTTTAGGGGACTGACCGTTATGTTTCTTACAAACAAATGGAAAAACTCTTGGGAATAAGAATTTTATATTTTGACAGCTTTGAGTGTATATTTTTCATATACTAAATGTGTATGTGTATATATATTTTTAAAGATGGACCACGACCTAATCAAAAAGAAATACTTTCTCTACGAGCATTCTTGTTGATGTTCATTAAGCAATTAGTGATGAAGGTGAGTTCACATTGCGTATCCCATAGCATACTGTATATTGTAGCTTATAATTTCAGATGAAATACAATCTTGGTTTATTTGTCCTTTGCTTGGTTACTATGGTTACAGATAGGAAAATACTTTGAAAGATGTTTCCATGTTTGTTTTGGTTCTTTTTTGGAGCCTATATGGATATAAATTGCTGCAGAATTGGGGATTGGTAGTTGTATTTTATGTTATATAAAGTTCTTTAGTAGCTCAAGTGTGTTGATTCATTTAGCAAATATTTACTGTGTTTCTGTTAGTATTTGGCACTATTCTTTGCATTGGCAATACAGTAGTCAACAAAACTCCTAAAGGAGGTTTCATTTTTATCAGGCTCCTTGTAACTGGCATTCAGATTTTAAGAAATAGTATTTCTGTATACATGTACCTGGTAGGTGTATGAGCCTTTAGAATTGGTCACATTTTGTCCTTTTCCATTTTATTACAGGTAAAGTAAAATTAATACTCTAAAGAAGGCATTTTACTTTTATAAGATAGGAATATATAAATGTACTTGTTGCCAATGTTTTTTTCAGTATTTTCCTATATGATTTTATAATGCTTTATTAGTTGTCACATAAGATTATGGCAAGTGAACGTAGCTTTTAGTATACCTTTCAGATTCAGATACCTTATTTCCATTTATTAAAAAAAAGTATCCTTTGAATTGTCTCTGTTTTGTTGCTCGTTCCTCGTGCATACTGTTTTTTGTTTTCCAATTTGTTTCTTCTTGTTTTTTTTTTTTTTTTTTTTTTTTTTTTTTTTTTTTTTGTTTTTTCCATATTTTTCTCTTAATTTGGAAATTTTCCTTGTTATTTTATTACCTTTTTTTTTCTTATATACTGATAGAGTAGGTTGAAATTTTTCATACTGAATTCATGTTTAAAAGTGCAGTGTTTTGTATTTTTTCCCCCGGTGAGATTACTGTTCAATTTTTAGGTGCTTGACACTTTAACTTGATAATTTCAGAAACTGTTCATTTTATTCTCCACATGTAATTTTCAGTCGAAAAGGTGTCTTCTGTATTTAGAGGAGTAGTAGGTGTGGATATTAGTTTTTAATTTATCATTATTATTTTTGCTAATGTCAGGATTCTGTAGCTTTAGTAAGTAGGCTATCATATTATATAAGGTGTTGAAAGCAGGAAGCTGATGTTAAATCTCTTTTGACCTCTACATTGTCTGGAATATTGATGTCTTTAGTGCTTCCCCAAATGTTTGTTTTAAATTTAGATTCTCTATTACATTTTTATATTTATACTAGCTGACCAACTTCACAAATCTATGTGTATAATTTCTCTTTAAACATTTTTTCATACATAAACATAAGATATTATGTATTATGTTTTTGAAGGATTCTGGAGTAAAGGAAGATGAATTGCAGGCCATTCTTAATTACCTACTGACTATACATGAGGTAATGTTTGAATTTTATCTTTCAAAATTTTATTTTTTGAAACTACATTAGACTTTTTTTAAGAGTAAAAATTAAAAAAAAATCTTCAGTAATTATATAACTGTAATGGGGAATAAATTTGTCTAGGAACTAAAGCCTAGCAACCTTCATTTAAATATCCTTTATTATCACAAGATGGATCTTGAGAATAATCATGAAAGGCTTTAAAAAGTACTAACAGAGTTCACTGAATTAATAGTAAAGTATACCAAAGTATACAGAAACCAGTGTACCAAATGAAAAAATAGATTATAAAAATGACTGAAAATGATTGGGTTTTAAAAATTTATAACACAATCTTCCCACTGACTTTACATGTTCAAATATTTAATTAACCAGCTCATTTATGGTGGGATTTAAAATGTGTTTGAAAGGGAGATTGAAAATTAAATAGGTAGAAATAATTGTTTTTGTCTTTATTTTTTAGCACCAGGAAAATGTAATATATGTCAGTTGCAATCTAACCTCTTTTTCGTTAGGTTTTTACCTATAATTAGTAAAAATTAGGAACTGATGAATATATCATAGCATTTCAAATGATAATTTGTACTTCTATATTATAATTAATCTCTTGTGAATTAATAAATATATTTTAGTATGGAGTAGTGCCTTAATTTTTAAATTTGGGATAATGTTAATTATCTCTTTGTTAATTCCAGAATAAAAGAATGGCTTAAATTTTGTGATTGAGTAATTTTGACTCCAAATCATTAATGATTATGATATTTTTTTCTTCTTGAATAGGCAATCCTGTTTTTAGATTTTACTGACCAAATATAATATTTGAAGAGTTTTCAGGTGAATTTCATAGTGATCATATGTGTGATTTTATTTTTATTAACCCTAAAGTACTGAATAAAGTACTTTATATGAGGTAAACTGGAAGTCACAGTGATTCCTTATTGTTGGGAAAGTTTCAGGTCCTCCAAATAACACTTCCAAAGATTCAGTGTGCTAGCTTGAGATCATCTGTTTAACTTACTGAAAATTAGGAGTACAAGTGGCTTCCATAGCAAAAATTCCAAAGCAGTGAAGGAAAACTAGAATCAGGGCAATCAAGTTAACTAAACTCTGTTAACTGTTTGACTTTTCCTTTTTGGGTCAGTATTATCTAAGTTGGCTGTAATGATATGCATACATAATGGCATATGCAACAAAGGTCATGAAGGTTTTTCCTGAAGATTTTTTTGGGGTCTAGGACTCATATATGTTTCTGTGCTGGTATTCTGTAACTGTTTTCAAATACTACCACATATTAGTAGTATGTTGATGAAGTAAATGTTTATTGGTTTTCCTTATAGTGATGACAGTTAATACTATATATGAAAACTATCCAATTATCATTTCTCACAAAGTGTTCTTTTAGAACTAGTTTCTTGAAAGGCACAGTGAATAAAATATTCCAGGTCAAATAAGTTTAAGAAATGATACATAATATCTTGCCCCTACCACCACCACCAGATTTGCAATATTCAGTTAGCATTTTAGAAGCTCTAATATATTTTTCTGTAATAAAGAATAACCCCTCCCCACAATTTCTTGATATATAAGCCTTCCTTAAATAAATTCCTGTTGGATATACTGTTTCTATAGATTATGTTTTACAAAATCTTGATTCAATATAACATGAAAAGGTATTTTATTTCTTTGATTAAGAAATTGTTTTGAGGCCAGGTGTGGTGACTCAACCTGTAAATCCCTCCTTTGGGAGGCTGAGGTGGGCAAATCACTTAAGGCAAAGAGTTCGAGACTGGCCTGGCTAACATGGTGAAACCTTGTTTTTACCAAAAATACAAAAATGTGGTGGCACACACCTGTAGTCCCAGCTACTAGGGAGGCTGAGGCATGAGAATTGCTTGAACCTGGGAGGCAGAGGTTACAGTGAGCTGAGATCACACCATTGCACTCCAGCCTGAGTGAGACAGAGATACTCTGTTTTTCCCTCAAAAAGAAATTGTTTTGCTGTTTTATGTATAGTTTGAGTTATGGAGGTGAATGTGTGCAATTAAAGAACACAATTTATTACAAATAGATATATATCATAGATATGTCTACTTATATTTCTAATGTTGAAATTTCTATTTCAGAGGTATTCAGCATTCAACTAAGTTGTTTTTTCCTCATTTTTAAAAACAAATTTTCTAAAATGATTATAGGATGACAATCTAATGGATGTCCTACAATTGCTTGTTGCATTAATGTCGGAACACCCTAACTCTATGATTCCTGCTTTTGACCAAAGGAACGGGTTACGGTAAGAGTTAATATATCAAGAGTTTTTAATGTATTTCATATAAGGGATAAGTTTGAAAATATTTGAAAGCTTCTTAAATATGAAAACTATTATTTAAACTTACATGTGAAATGAGTTTGTAGCATGAAATGAGTTAAGATTTAAGACCCATTTATAATCATGCATGTTTTCAATGAATATTTATAGAGGCAGTATTACTATTTGTTACTATTTAATTTGTGAGGATGGATAAATGATTTCAGTATTTTGTATGGTGAATGCTATTAGAGAGCTACTATATTATTGACTTCTTTAGCAGAATTATCTTTAGGTCTTAGAGTAGTATTAAATAGTGTTCAATTGTAATCCAAGATAAGCTCTCTATCCTCCCTTTATAATATCACTTCTTCCACCTCCCACTTCTGACTCAGCATTGTATTAGTGTGCTTAGGCTGCCATAATCAAATACCATAGATTGGATGGCTTACACATCAAAATTTTGTTTCTCACAGTTCTGGAGATGGGAAATCCAAGTTCATGATGCCAGTGGGGTTGGTATTTGATGAAGACTCTCATCTTGAGTTGCCTACCTCTTCTTCCTTCCTATGTTCTCACATAGCAGAAAGAGAAAGAGAGCATTTGTGAGCTTTCTGGTGTCTCTTCGTACAATGACATTACTCCTATTGGATTAGAGACCCTCTCTTATGATCACATTTAACCTTAATTACTTCTTTAGAGGCTCCATCTCCAAATACTAATGATAGGGCTTTAACATATGAATTTTGGGTGTATGCAAACATTTGGTCCATAATAATTATCAACAACAAAAACAGAATACCTTTATTTTACATATAAAAAAGTTAAAAATCTTTTGTTTAATGAAAAAGTGGGCAAGAAAAGTTTAGCAACTAGTTTGCTGAATGATGAGCTACAGAAACTAATTTAATTATTGAGTTATAATAAATTCACACAGGGATTTTTGTTTTCTGTTTGTTTTTAAGACAGATCTCCCTCTGTCACCCAGACTGGAGTGCAGTGGTACAGTCACGGATCACTGCAGGCTTGACCTCCTGGGCTCAAGGGATCCTCTTTCCTCAGTCTCCTGAGTAGCTGGGACTACAGGCGTGTGCCACCATGCCTAGCTTATTTTTAAAATTTTTTGTAGAGATGAGGTTTCACTATGTTGCCCAGGCTTGGTCTTGAACTTCTAGGCTTAAATGCACATTGATCTTCTATTACAGATCCATTATTTGGTATCTTTCAGTGCTCATTCTCTATAATATAAAAAGTGACTTTATTCATTATACTTAAGGGGTTTATTTCAGAATTCTTCAGGAAAACAACCAAAAGAGTGTGTGTGTGTATTTGTGCGTGTGTGTGTGTGTGTTTGTGTGTGTGCACGTGGGTACTCACTAGAGAGATTTATTTTAAGCAATTGTTTTACACAGTTGTGGAGGCTGGGAAATCCAAAGTCTGTAGGATAGGCAGGCTGACTGGAGACCCACAGAGGAGTTGATGTTGCAGTTCAAGGTCAAAGACAGTCTGCTGACTGAATTTTCTCTTTCTCTGAGGCAGTCAGGCTTTTTTTCTGTTAGGCTTCAGCTGAATAAGACCTACATACATTATAAAGGCTAATCTGCTTTACTCAAAATCTACTGATGTAAGTGTTAATCTCATCCAAAAAATACCTTCAAATATCTAGAAAAACATTTGACGAAATATCTTGATACCATGGCTTCCAGTTGACACATAAAGCATTATAAGAGATAAATTTACAGTTTATCATTTATTGATAGTTTTACTGTTAAAGTATTCCGTATTTTCCCTCACACTGTCTAATAATTATTACTTTGAACAAGCTTGCTATGAACATTCATGTACAAGTATTTCTATGGACATATGTTTTCACTTATTTTGAGTATATACCATACTTATGAATGTAATGGCTAGGTCATATGATAGCCGTATTAACACAAAACAAACGAGGCTTATAAATACTTG